ATGAATTCTAAATTTTTCTACTTATTTTCGAAAATATTCGTAAAAAATTTATTTAATTTTTTTATAAATCGAAAATTTTTTATTTTTTTTTATTTTTTTATTCAATTAAAATTTACTTCATCATTTTCATTACAATCTTATTTAATTTCGCTAAATTTCTATCAAAAAACAAAAATTTTCTTCCTTCGAACATATTTCCATATAAAAATGCCGCCGTCAACTCGCATTTCTAAATGCCGTTGCTTGTTTGTTCATATGCTTGCTTGCTTCATTTCAAGAAAATTCATTACAAAAATAAAATTATTTTTAGTAAATTGTACAATTTTTTTTATTTATTTTTGAAAATATTCGTAAAAAATTTATTTAATTTTTTTATAAATCGAAAATTTGTTATTTTTTTATTTTTATTTTATTTATTTTTTTTATTCAATTAAAATTTACTTCATCATTTTCATTACAATCTTATTTAATTTCGCTAAATTTCTATCAAAAAACAAAAAATTTCTTCCTTCGAACATATTTCCATATAAAAATGCCGCCGTCAACTCGCATTTCTAAATGCCTTTGCTTGTTTGTTCATATGCTTGCTTATATTATGTATGTATACCATAGCGTCACTTTATCTATGCATGTGGACATTACAAAAATAATAATTTTAATTAAAAAATAAAATAAATAAATAAATTTAAAAAATTAAATTAAAAAAATAAAATTTAAATTAAATTAAAATATTAAAATTAAATTAAAAAAATTTAAATTAAATTAAAAAATTTAAATTAAATTAAAAAATTAAAATTAAATTAAAAAATTTAAATTAAATTAAAAAATTAAAATTAAATTAAAAAATTTAAATTAAATTAAAAAATTTAAATTAAATTAAAAAATTAAAAATAAATTAAAAAATTAAAATTAAATTAAAAAATTGAAATTAAATTAAAAAATTAAAATGTAAATGTAAATTAAAAAATTAAAATTGAAATTAAATTAAAAAATTTAAATTTAAATTAAATTAAAAAATTTAAATTAAATTAAAAAATTAAAATTTAAATTAAATTAAAAAATTTAAATTAAATTAAAAAATTAAATTTCCAATTTAATAACGTAATAATTTTTTCTAAACAAATTTAAATTTATTTTCCAAAAAATCCAAAATAATATTTTCATTTTTGTGTTAAAATATAAAATTTTATTTTCATATTTTTTTCATTTTAATTTTATTTTTTTAATTTTAATATTTTCTATTAATTTCTTTAATTTCATTCAAATTTTTCTATTTCATTTATTTTTCAATTCCATTTTTTCTTCAAATTCCTACAAATTTTCATTTTATTTTCCTTATTCTATAATTTTATTTCAACTACACAGCCTTTCCAATGCAAAAAAAACTCTTTCAATTCTCCTCTTTTTTGCCTTCCCAAAATAAAAGGCGGTAGACGATTTCTTACAATAAAATTACTATGTGTGTGCGTGCGTGTGTGTTTTTGTGTTTGGTGGTTATTTTTTGTGAGTCATACAAGCCAGCTGTACTACTGATCAACAGGAATAACTGTATTCTTCTTCTTCTTTCTTCTTCGTTTTAAATTGCCCCTTGCAAAAACAACATAACACAAGCATGCTTCTTCTTCTTCTTCAAAATACCTCGAACTATAACGGCAAACAACAACAAATTTTAAGCAAACTCAAATGTGACTACAATAAATGTATTTCGTCTCATAAAAGACAAATGTAATGCTGTAAGGAGAAAAATTTATATTTTTTGGATTTTTTTTTATTTTATTTTTAATAAATGTAACTAATGAAATAATATTGTTTGAAATGATTTTTTCTCTTTTTAAATATTTTTTGTCGCCCTGAAAAGGACGGATTGGTTGATTTTGTATGGATTTTTTGTGTTTTATACGATGGTCTGTATTCACTCCATAATACCTTTCGCAATAATTTAGGCTTTCTTTTCGGTCTTCTTGGGCAAGAGAACAGCTTGGATGTTTGGCAATACACCACCTTGGGCGATAGTAACACCAGACAACAATTTGTTCAATTCTTCGTCATTACGGATGGCCAATTGCAAGTGACGGGGAATAATACGAGTCTTCTTGTTGTCACGAGCAGCATTACCAGCCAATTCCAACTTCAGCAGCCAAATATTCCATAACGGCGGCTAAATATACTGGAGCACCGGCACCAACACGTTCAGCATAGTTCCCTTTGCGCAACAAACGATGAATACGACCGACGGGGAATTGAAGACCAGCACGATTGGAACGGGACTTTGCCTTTCCCTTAACTTTGCCACCTTTACCACGACCAGACATTTTCACTTTATTTTATTTTTAAACACTTCACTTAGCACTGAAAAACACAGAATGATAAAAATTGCCTTGGCACCCCGTAGTATTTATACTTTTCTCGCACACACATTACTATACTTAGGGGTGTGTAGCTATGTATTATACATAGCAGCTGTGACTACCTGAAATTGTTGAACATTTTAATCTACAAATATGTAGTTGGCTGCCCTTGTATTTTTATTCTGTGAACAGTGTTAAAAGTGTTTGTGTGATTAAAAAAAATTAAAGTGAAAAATGCCTCCTAAAACCAGTGGTAAAGCAGCAAAGAAGGCCGGCAAAGCCCAAAAGAACATCACCAAGGGCGATAAATCGAAGAGACGTACCAAGCGTAAGGAGAGTTACGCTATCTACATTTACAAAGTGTTGAAGCAAGTCCATCCTGATACTGGTATTTCCTCAAAGGCCATGAGCATCATGAACAGTTTTGTGAATGATATCTTCGAACGTATTGCCGCCGAAGCCTCCCGTTTGGCTCACTACAACAAGCGCTCGACCATCACCAGTCGGGAAATCCAAACTGCCGTTCGTCTATTGTTGCCCGGTGAATTGGCTAAGCACGCTGTCAGTGAAGGTACCAAGGCTGTTACTAAATACACCAGCTCCAAGTAAATGCCTTGATTTTTCATTAATTCGTCGAAATTCAACCATAAAAGGCCCTTTTCAGGGCCACAAAAAATATTTTAAAAGAGATCAAATTTTTGTTGAAACCATATTTATGCATTTTTAGTTAATAAAGAAAATTTTTAAATAAATAAAATTAAAAAAAATATTTTAAACCATATTTTTAATTTTTTTTTTTTCAGAATATTATTTTTCATAAATAAATTATATTTTATCAAACCAACATTTTTTTCTTTCGTCTTTTTTCATTACATATATTTTTTTTTTTTCAATAAATACCAAAATTCTAAAAAAAAATTAAAATTCCATATTTTCACTGAAAATAATATATTTCCATTCATTTGTACTAACTCACATTGCCTTATGCCAACGCCGTTGCTTGCTTTGTTAGTCGTTGCTTGTTTACTTGTGCTATATGGGTATAACAACATATCGCACAAGCAGTCGTATGTGTGTATGTATTGGTGCGATTTTAGTTCGTTGTGCTATAGTAGACATCAGTGCCATACGAACGAATATGTGAATGGGCAACATCTATGTACAAGCATTTTTTCTTCAGTACAGCAAAGGCATATGACAAATATGAAGTAGGGAGATTTTTTGGCGGGAAAAAAATTAGTGGTGGAATTCTTTCCAAGGAAAAATATGTTTAAAATGGTGATTATAAATTGTTGATGAAAAATTAATGAAATTCAAAAATTTTAGAAAATATTAAAATATTTAGTTTTTGTAACGTTAAAGGGGCGATTTACAAATTTTGAAGAAAATTTACGAAATTCAAAAATTAAGCAGAAAATATTAAAATATTTTTACCATTAGGTAATTGCAAATTATAAAAGTTTATGACCTGGATTAAAAAAATAATCCATTTGTGGCGTCATTTTGTGGAATGTCCATAAATAAACAGGCACACTTTTACCTAATACTATAATTAGCAAAATCTTTTTTTTTTCTCCTAAAATTAAAACACATGTGGATTTTCTCATTTATTTAGGTAGTAGTAAAAATAATAAAAGTAATTTGTTTATAGTATGAAATAAATATTTTGTCTCTTTTAGAATTTAATTTGTAGCCCTGAAAAGGGCTGTTAGATATTATGTTTTCGAATATCGAAAAAATTCTTGACAAAGTAATTTTTGTGGGAAAAATTACTTCTTGGCGGCGGCTTTCTTGGCAGCTGGCTTCTTTGGCGCTGCGGCTTTTTTGGGCTTAGCAGCGGCTGTTTTTGCCTTGGGTGCCTTTGGTTTGGTGGCAGATGCTTTAGCGGCGGTCTTTGCGGGTTTTGCCTTAACTGTACCGGTTTTCTTGGCAGCCTTGGCCTTTGTTTTGTCAGCCTTCTTCTTTTCAGCGGTCTTTTTGGCGGCAGATGGTTTTTTGGCAGCTGTCTTCTTTTCGCCGGCAGCCTTTTTAGGGGCGACCTTCTTCTTTTTTCACCAGCGTGTGGAAGCGTGTTAAATTTTTTACAAAAGTTTTCGGAGAAATAAATTTTTTGCTTTGAAGCTTAGAAAATTCCTTGGAAAAGATATTTTACATTTCGAAAGTATAGATTTCAGGCTTCATTTTGCAAAAGATTTCATGTAATTATCATAAGCCGTTAGCGAGTTATAGACGTTTAACTTCAAAGATTATGAATTTGAAATCACAAATTTCTAACTAAATTTGGAAAAAATCCAAAAAATTTTGAAAATTTTCGTAAAATTTCTTTTTGATAATATAGCCTGATATGTTTACTTTAGGATAAAACAAAAATATTGACCAATTTTACATTTTCTATGTGAGAAAAAATTAAATTTATTATGTGGTCTATGACAGCAGAAATCCTCTTGTTGGCATATTTTCAATGAAGAAAACTTTTTCTACAAATAAATTTGAAAGCTCAAATCTTATTAACTTTTATAAAAATTTCTTAAAAAACATTTCAGAATTTGTATATTTACACCAAAATAAAACATTATTCATAAAAAGTCATTAATTGTTTGGAAAAGTTAAAAATTCCTTACAATATCATATACTACCAGTGAACGAACATTCATCAACAAACGGCAATTTTTTTTTTTTTTCAAAATAACATATTTTGGCAAAAATAAATTCATTTTAATTTAAAAATATTCTAAAATAATTTATAAATCAGTTATTTATTAATTTTCCATATAATTTTGCCAAATTTTGGCAAAAAAAAATATATTAAAAATAATTTCGTTTTTACTATTACCTTTCATGGCAGAGCAGAGTACAAAGAAATTTCATGGAATTTTTCGAACGTTACAAAAATATTTTATTCCTATTGATTATTAAGAATTTACTATTTTCTATTAATTTTTAGTCAAAATATGAAATTTTAATAATTATTTTACTAAAAAATACTAATTTATTTATAATTTTCTTTAAAAAAAAATAGTTTTTGAATAGAGAAATTCTGCCTTTAGAAATCAAAAAATATTTCCCACCAAATTTTTCATTGGAATATACAGAGACAAATATAAAATTACATAGAATTTTTTTTACATGGTAGAAAATTAGCTGGAAAAGAAAAAATTTTGCATATTTCATCATGAGAAATAAATTTTTTGCGAGAAAATTTGATATTTTACTTTCGAAAGTAAAAAAAAAAAAAAAAATTTCAGAAAATCATTTTGCAAAATTTTTTTTGATTATCATAAGCGCCAAAATCAAACAAAATATTGCATTTATACATTTGGAAAAAATCCAAGAGGATTTTTTTTATTTTGAAAATTTTCGTAAAATTTCTTTTTGATAATATAGCCTGATATGTTTACTTTAGGATAAAACAAAAATAGAAAAAATTAAATTTATTATGTGGTCTATGACAGCAGAAATCCTCTTGTTGGCATATTTTCAATGAAGAAAACTTTTTCTACAAATAAATTTGAAAGCTCAAATCTTATTAACTTTTATAAAAATTTCTTAAAAAACATTTCAGAATTTGTATATTTACACCAAAATAAAACATTATTCATAAAAAGTCATTAATTGTTTGGAAAAGTTAAAAATTCCTTACAATATCATATACTAAAACAATTAAACAAACAATTTTTTTTTTTTTTCAAAATAACATATTTTGGCAAAAATAAATTTTTTAATTTAAAAATATTGTAAAATAATTTATAAATAAGTTATTTATTAATTTTCATTATAATTTTTTAAAATTTTGGCAAAAAAAAATATATTAAAAATAATTTCGTTTTTACTATTACCTTTCATGGCAGAGCAGAGTAAAAGAAATTTCATGGAATTTTTCGAACGTTAAAAAATATTTTATTCCTATTGATTATTAAGAATTTACTATTTTCTATTAATTTTTAGTCAAAATATGAAATTTTAATAATTATTTTACTAAAAAATACTAATTTATTTATAATTTTCTTTAAAAAAAAATAGTTTTTGAATAGAGAAATTCTGCCTTTAGAAATCAAAAAATATTTCCCACCAAATTTTTCATTGGAATATACAGAGACAAATATAAAATTACATAGAATTTTTTTTACATGGTAGAAAATTAGCTGGAAAAGAAAAAACATGCATATTTCATTCTTCATTCATGGGGATGTTTGCTGTAAAAAAAAAAAAAAAATATTGAGGGGAAATTTTTTTCGCGCCAAAAAAAACATATTGCATTTATACATAAGAGGATTTTTTTTTGGAAGGGGAAAAATGGAGGGAAGCATTTTCCCGCCAATTTGGAAAAATGTGAATAGAAAACAATTAAACAAACAATGTGAAAAAAATTTCATCATGTGACAATTCAAAGGAAAAATTTTAAATAGAAACAAAGAAAAAAAATAATAATAAAATAATTTAAATAATAAATCTGAATAATTAAAATTTTAACCAGAATTAAAAAAAGAAAATAATTTCTTACGAAATCAAAATTAAAATGAAAAAAAAAATAAAATAAATTAAATAGAAAATCATATTATGAAAATGTTGAGAAAATGTATGAAAAATCATTTTTAATGAAAAGAAAAGGAAAGCGAAAAAAATTATAATTTCAAATGAAAACATAAATGTTTGGAAATTTTACTCGAAATAAAAAAAAAATAAATAAAAAATCCTATATTCCTATCAGCCTCAAATAAATTAAAACAACGTAAAAAACATTTTTATTTAATAAAAAAATTGTAATAATAGTAAATAATTTGTTAAAAATTTAATCTCTTTTTTAATATATTTTGTGGTCCTGAAAAGGACCGATTGTTTTGTTGTAAAAAAATGAGTTTTCAAAACGTCAAGTAAATTAAGCACGTTCTCCACGAATACGTCTGGCCAATTGGATATCTTTAGGCATGATAGTGACACGCTTAGCATGGATGGCGCACAAGTTAGTATCTTCGAAAAGACCGACCAAGTAGGCTTCACTGGCTTCTTGCAAGGCCATGACAGCAGAGCTCTGGAAACGCAAATCAGTTTTGAAATCTTGAGCAATTTCACGAACCAAACGCTGGAAGGGCAATTTGCGGATCAACAATTCAGTACTCTTCTGGTAACGACGGATTTCACGCAAAGCGACTGTACCGGGACGGAAACGATGAGGCTTCTTAACACCGCCGGTGGCTGGTGCGCTCTTACGAGCGGCTTTAGTGGCCAATTGCTTACGAGGAGCCTTGCCACCAGTCGATTTACGGGCAGTTTGCTTAGTACGAGCCATTTTTCACTTTAATTTTTTTCTTTTCACTTCACTAGGTATGCACACAAACACTGTTAACACTGTAATAACTCGGGAACCGCGCCAGAAACGAGTATTTATAGAAAAATTTATATATTTGAGTGTTCGTAAATACAAATATATGTCTACTAAATGGGCACACACACGCACACATATACATAAACGACTATGGCACAAGCAACACGAACTATGTCGAAGTGGTTGACGAGGGAAATTTTTGTATAAATAGAACCGTTAGGCTGCTAGTTAAAACATTCGTTCTTGTGCATTCGTGAAGTGATAAGTGAATTTAAAAAAAAAAAGTGAAAAATGACTGGTCGTGGTAAAGGTGGAAAAGGCTTGGGAAAAGGTGGCGCTAAACGTCATCGCAAAGTGTTACGTGATAATATCCAGGGCATTACCAAGCCAGCTATTAGACGTTTGGCTCGTCGTGGTGGTGTAAAACGTATTTCTGGATTGATTTACGAAGAAACTCGTGGTGTTCTGAAAGTGTTCCTGGAAAACGTTATTCGTGATGCTGTCACCTACACCGAACACGCTAAGCGTAAAACCGTCACTGCTATGGATGTCGTCTACGCTTTGAAGAGACAAGGTCGTACTTTGTACGGTTTCGGCGGTTAAATATTTTCTTGACGCTATTTGGAGAAATCTTCTTATTTTACAACAAACCAATCGGTCCTTTTCAGGACCACAAAAAATATTAAAAAAGAGATACTATCTTGTTGAAAATTAATTATTATTTTTTTTAAATAAATATACTAATAAAAATTATAACTACATATATTAAATGTTTAAAAAATTTCCTTCCCTTACCTTTTCCGATTTTTCAAATATTTTTAATAAATTTGAATTTTATTCTAATAGTATTATCCATTTTATACCACATTTCTTTCCAAAATCATATTTTTCCTTTCAATTATTTCCACATACCAATGCCTGTTAAAATGCCGTCGGCAATACGCATTACTAAATGCCTTTGGTTACTCATATTATGTGTGTATACCATAACTACACATACCCTATACATGTATTAGTACATAACGTTAAAGAACAACAAGCAATGCCATGACTATTCACATCAGTGTTTTCAATTTCAAAAATAAAATAAAAAATCAATACGTTCTCATTTCAAGAAAATTCATTAAAAAATTAAAATTATTTGTAATGAATTCTAAATTTTTCTATATTTTCGAAAATATTCGTAAAAAATTTATTTAATTTTTTTATAAATCGAAAATTTTTTATTTTTTTTTATTTTTTTATTCAATTAAAATTTACTTCATCATTTTCATTACAATCTTATTTAATTTCGCTAAATTTCTATCAAAAAACAAAAATTTTCTTCCTTCGAACATATTTCCATATAAAAATGCCGCCGTCAACTCGCATTTCTAAATGCCGTTGCTTGTTTGTTCATATGCTTGCTTGCTTATATTATGTGTGTATACCATAACTACACATACCCTATACATGTATTAGTACATACGTACGTTAAAGAACAACAAGCAATGCCATGACTATTCACATCAGTGTTTTAAATTTCAAAAATAAAAAAAATTCAATACGTTCTCATTTCAAGAAAATTCATTACAAAAATAAAATTATTTTTAGTAAATTGTACAATTTTTTTTATTTATTTTTGAAAATATTCGTAAAAAATTTGTTTAATTTTTTAATAAATCGAAAAATTTTTATTTTTATTTTATTTATTTATTTTTTTTATTCAATTAAAATTTACTTCAT